ATATTACTTTTTCTTAATCAAACCCCATATCTCAATCGAGTTTGACTCTGGACCCCTTATCTTCTATTACCTTTATGTGAATATCTATCAAAGTAATTCTATCGTTGTCTTTGTCCTCAAGAATATCTCCATTCGTATCTACTAAGAGTTTTAGAAAGTATGTCATAAATCTCGCTTAAACTTAGGAGAAACAAAGCAAAAACAAATTTCGTGGCCTGTAGTCCGCGAGCGAACTATACCGACCGAGCGACCGCCGTTTGTCGGAGAAGTTAGTGCCAACTTTAGCGTATAGAGGGTGTCACGTCAGCGCAACGGATCCCCACGGCCGTTAATCTCGGTTTTCTATACCGGAAACGCTATTTCCTTGAAATCACTCCTCAATTATCCTCACGAGGCTGTGTGAACCCCGTTCCAGACCCACTACTTCTCAGAAGATCTGGTAGCACCGGGAATCAAACCCGGGACCTCTAGATCTGTAGCCAGGAACTCTGATCACTAGACCACAGAGGCGGTCAGCTTAAACTAAGGAACATAATAAAAATATGAAATCGAGTTCTTTACGCTTGGTTTTGATAGAAATGAAGTTCAGGACGAATTTATGGGAAGGACACGCTCTGGAAAATCTCCTCTATTTGTTCCAGTATCTCTTCCACTTTCGAAAATGCTTAATATCTGGAAATACAGAACAGCAATCTGGCAGCTGCTTTATATAAATGTGACACACAGTGTCTTTCTTTGAGGAAAGAACATAATTTACAGAGTTGTTTGATGTTCTCAAAGTGGTGATTGTAAATAGTTTTTACTATAGGATTCTCACGATGGTGTATAACACATAGAGATATTGGATTTTCGGACTTCATCCATCGTCCTGGTTTCAAGATAACTAAGAAAAATACGACGTTTCGGAAACTGGATCTGTTTCCGTCCTCAGGTGAGGGAAAACACCTATTCTGTTGGGTCCCTTAGAAAGAGCTAGCCTCAATTGGTCCAGTGATTGAGGCTAGCTCTTTCTAAGGGACCCAAAAGAATAGGTGTTTTCCCTCACCTGAGGACGGAAACAGATCCAGTTTCCGAAACGTCGTATTTTTCTTAGTTATCTTGAAACCAGGACGATGGATAAAGCCTGAAAACCCAATACCTCTATGTAAATAGTTCTGTTTGCTGGGGTATAACATCGTGTAGTCCGATGAAAACCGACTCACGTTTCAGAGGAATATTTCGCCTCCATCTTCATGATCGAAGAATAAACCAAGCAAGAAATCAACGTGAAGCAGGTAGCAAACAGAGCGTGCTTCATAAATTACAAGTATCTGAAAGTAACTGTTCAGTAAATATCTGTTCCTGAGAGGAATTAACTGGAAAATTTAGAATATTAGGACTACATAAAGATAGCTTCGTAATTTATATAGTTCATCTCTTACTGAGAATGTAATGGAATACATATGTGACTATGATGGGCTTGACATGTAGCTACGATAGGGGAGAAAATGAATGCGTGGAGATTTTTCATGGAAGAACCTCCTGGTTAACCCCCACTTAAAAATCCGAGACCAGTAGATAATGAACGTTTAGATGAATTTCACGGAAATGAGAGATGGATTGAACTGACTCTGGCTTTTATTCTATTGTGGGATGTGATATTAGTGGTGCTGAACCTTCGGGTTCTACTACCATAATGTTAGTTCGTCAGTTTGTTAGTTAGAGATTCAGATAGTATTATATCCTCAATGATGTACTGACTTGCTAAAATTATTCATGAATAGAACTACATTTTAAATAGTTCTTGAGACCTCGGCGACACTCCCTTGAAGCAGGTCGTGACTCTTTCACACAGTTTAAGAAACCATGCACTGAGATTTTTTAGTAAGAATCTCGCTTACAAAATTTCGTCAAAATATGACAAGCGATTCAAGAATTCATAGCCACTACGGGATATACCGACAGGAATCTTGCTGGCTCCTTGCGGGGTTTAATCCTCGACACTGGAGGTGGAGGCGACATGTTCCTCCTAAACGTCGGCTGCTTTTCAATGAGTTACACGGCGTTATATCCCAGAAGATAGAACATCATTACCACATCACTGAGAACCAGAAGCCCTACATCTTCCTCACATCTCGAGTTTCGGTGACTCTTGAACGGCAGTTGAATCAAATTTCGCTATCTTAACACTCTGCATAAATCAGCATGCCCAAAGCGCAGACGCATAAATTTCTACTAACATTTTACACCGCGTTGGTCGGCATAAAGATAACCCTCTAGACTAGTATTCGAGAAGTGTTCAGTTCGAGCCTTGATCGGGAAGCCGGTTATCCTTACTTAGGTATTCCGTGGGTTTCCTCAATCCCTCCAGGAAACTACCGGGATAGTACCCCGATTAGGCCACAATGGCTTCCTTCCAAATCCTTCCAAATTCATCAGTTCAACCTCCATTCCATAATTCGTAGTCCAAATACTTATAGGGCCGTAGGACAGCTCCCCTCTCATATATGCAACCACCGACATTTTGCTGTCAAAATAGATTGTATTTCCTATAAAATATGAGTTAAATAGGCACTGCAATACCTTGCGGAACGCTTCAAAATTCCTCCCAAAATTCGGAAAACCTGTGTCTTTATCTCTGAAATCGATTTTTAGCGTCTTAACTAAGCTTTCACGCCCAACATAAATACAATGAATCGAAGTGTTTCATGTTACCTTTATCCTTCTTTCTGTAAAACGAGAGAATTGCCTTCCTAACAGAAATGTTCATCTAACGCTGCAGAGAGCTGTTTATATAAGCTACTTGTGGGCATTCCCCAAACAGAACCCGATGATGGAGACAAAGCTTCTCTCCGAAACACTAATCTTCTCTTACCAAACGTCTCACCTGACCTCCTAAGAGAATTTCAGTGTAATCAAAATTACATTCACGAGGAAGTTAAAGTCTTTAAAACTTGATTCGGAGAATGCTTCATGTCATTCAGATTAAAATCTTCCATCTGTCGTATCTCTGAGTATCTGATTATTTGAACATTGCTCTTCAATCCTGTTGTATACGTACAGAGCAGTTTGTTTTAGTTTTGAACACTGGGGAGGGGGCTCTGGAGGATCCCGTGCTGAGACAGGGGGAAGTTTCTCATGGGAAAATTTTGAAAAAAAAAAAAAAAACGTTTATTGATCCATCTGAGCATAACAAACTTTACATCTGAGATGAAATACTCTTGGCAAATCTACGCGTTGTGGCTGGAAGAAGTTCAGTATCAAAAACCTATATATATATACACGAATAAATCTCGTGGAACACTTTTCCTATCCTCGTGTAATACCTGTGTTCTGTGGTGCACATTTTGGAAAACACCACATTATAATATACAATCGATATCATTTTTTTTTCTTTTATTTGGGTGTGAAACTTAGTTCTTCGACCTAAAGTAAGAACATAGATTCTGGGTGAACAAATGTATTCCATTTACACAGTTCCGCCACTTACCTACAGATCTGACTCTCCTGAAACCAGGGCCGGATTGTGACAAGCTGAGGTCCACAGCTGTGTCAAGATTCAGAGGCCCAGACCTTCAAGAATAAAGATACGTTACGTTATGACAGGGTCGTGATAAAAAAAAAGGTAAATATTTATATTTGAATATACATATAGGAGAAGATGCAACGTCAAACAACTAAATAAAATACATATATTTTACAAAAGCTCTATTTTCATTATAAAGTACATAACTTATGATTTTTAATTATTATATACGCAGTTGAAGACATCTGACACAGGGATGAGCAATTACAGAGTTCTGAACTTATTACATGTAGCATTGTAGCTTGTAATGAAAAATTGTAACTGGTATTCTAAATAAAACACATATCTTGCAATAATTCTATATGCATTATTGGACAACTTTAAATGAAAATACCTTATGATTTTTATTTACTTAGCATATATGAAATTGATGACTTGCAACATAAAGGAACGCAACATTACAGAGAACAATACCTATAAAATTGAAGTAGCAATGTAACTTACACGGTCGCTTCTCTTCACACATGACATAAAATTTAAAATATATTCTCTCATGATTGTAAAGGACCAAAGTCATGGATGATAAGCTATGAAAATTATTTTCTAAGAATATAATCCTTAATGCTGAGAGATTTCCTTGCATCATTTACATCCACTGCAACAGCGGTCTTTCCCTCAAGCGGTTTGTTACCATTAAACTAAAAAAAAATAAAGCCAACTGAGACTTACCTTGGGAGGTAACCTAATACAAATTCTGGCGGCATAAATATCCTTAAGTTCCTTGGTGTAAGGAAGGTTCTTCATGTCCAGGAGGCTGATATTAATATCATCTGGGAATATGTCTCTAGGGGAAAGTCTTTAATCAGCACTGAGTGCATCGCCGTGACTGATTTCTCTTCCACTCTTTCCTTTAACTCACACACTCCTACAGTCCATACGAGGCACATTTTCTTTAGCTCTGAGTTAAATTTCATCAAAACATTCTCAGGTTTGAGAAGTAAGGTCTTCTGGGTTGTAACGACGCGTAATTTGGAGAGAGCAGACGTTTCTTAAGAACATATCGCCTCCATCTTCAGGGTCGAAGAGTAAGCCAAAGCAGAAGCAGGTTGCAAGGATTCCATGCAGGGAAGTTGACGGGATTCAACGTCGATGCTCAGGGTTCAACATTTTGGTGGTGGATTTTATATGAAAGGTTATTTAAACGAAAGCAGCTTCTGACATATTAAGAGGTCCCTCATAATGCTCATAATGCCAGGCCCTTAACCATAACCTTACTTCCCTTGAGCCTAAACACGGCAATACCCGCAACACGTTTGAAACACCGGAAGCTCCTCACTTCTTGCCGATGTTGGGAATCGTCATATGACTGTCACCTATTGGTAGCAGCCGTCACTACATCCTCAATCGGCATGTCTCGTGGCGCCATTGGATAACAAAATAGTAGGCCTAAGTCATGTGGGTCATGTGTTGGCCGACTTATTTCCGGTAAGAGCGTTTTCGCTTTGTAGATCGGTGTCGAATATGCGTAGTGCGATTATGCACAATGTGTTCGATTTACGTTCTGCACCTAGACTAAACGCTAATACGTGGTGTTTGATACTGTCAAATTCAATCGATATGATGTGTTTATAGAATGAATCGTTAGAGTAGTTACTAACCTCTGAACGTAACGAGGAGCTTAATGTAGTATGAACTTTATGTTTAAACTTACTTATTTGTTCGTACATGGTACAAAAGACGTGCATTTATATTCGGAATGTGCCTCTTGGGGTTGACACTGAGCACTATGGTAGTTTAGGACCAACTTACAGGTTTACTTTTCAAAAGAGGTATGTTCTTTTCGTGCCTAAGATCCTTTAAGTTGAATAAAAATTATGGAATAATGCTTTAAGTAGTTACTGTGCGTCAATTAAAATAGAGTCTTACAACAACGATTCCAATGACCAGTTTTCACATGTCACTTGTGCAAAAACTGCCGTGTTGAAATACTGTTTGTAAGGTATAATGCACCATTTATCACAATATCTATCCCGTCTAAACCAGTTAGTCACTAATATGTAGCTAAACTTGACAATGCGATGAGATATATGTTAACACCGTTAACACGTTGTTGCTCTGAGTCTGCGTAGTCCGCTGTCTTGTTTGTACTGATTTATGCAGGCGCGGGAATGTCAAAAGGGCGCGAAATTTGAATAGACCTACGGTGTGAGTTTTCATTATGGTGCAAGTTGACTCTGTGCCTAAGTAGTTAAGTACTATGCCATACGCTGCATTACTGCTCTACTTGGGGTTATGGTGCAACAAAATTTACCAGTTCAATATCTATCATGATTTGAGGGCTGTCATATGGTACAATAATATCTATATTTAGTTAGGGCAAAACTTGTGTTATGTAAATAAAATTTTTATTTGGTGGGGTGTAGGCAGTGCTTTAGTTTGGAATTTAATGTGATAATATAAAATCAATCCGAATCTCTTATCAGATTCTGGATTTACATATAGCACAACGAAATTCGCCACACTTGATTTGGGTGAAGTTGTTAAGTGAGTTCATTTTTGAGGGTTTTAGTGTTGGGGTTTAGTTACAACTTTCGTTGTTTATTACATTACGTTAGGTTTTCCCTTGGGGGTTTAGTGTGATCATAAGCCATTATTTATTGCTGAACACTGATGAAACTTATGAGATATCATGTGAAGTGTTTTCAACTGCCTTATGAATGAGTCAAAACAAATACAGTACTGTATCAATGCCAGAATTTTCTCCTGTAATTTAACATAATATCAACGGTTAACTTCCCAACATTCATTCAAAATTATTGCAGTTGTCCCTGTGCTTAGCTAATTAAATGCTACGCCATGAAGGCATATGGGGTAGTGGATGTATAGATAATATTTTCTTGACCTCGGCACTAGTTGGAGGTGAGTGGCCAGCTTCATGCCCTGGCCTCTTAATCCGGGGAAAGAGCTCCCCATACCCAATGGATAGGAGGTTGGGTGGACCCCAGAGCTGGTCTGGATGACATGGAAAAGAGAAAATTTTTTACCCTACCTGAACTTGAACTCCAACCCCTCAGTCATCCAACCCATAGCCAGTTACTATACCGACTGAGCCAGCCAGGCTCCTCAAAGTTATTACAGTACTATTAATGGTTATTTTATATATAGTCCCGGGAAACATCATTATCCTGAATTGGTGATAAATAGGCCATCTGATCATTATGCTCAACTGCCGTAGTAGTGAAAAAACATAAATTATTTGATGTAATTACTATAATGGGAAACAAACTGGACCAATAGATGATTTCATTATCAATTAATTTACAAATTATCTAATAAATGAAAACTAGGATTCAGTATTCAGTGTTCAACACATTTCTAAACATCATAAGAATGTTTTAATGAAGTTTCTCTACGAAAACAGAGAAATTGTATTTGAAACTAATTAATGGATAAGTAGAGGTGTCTTTGTTATTATTTATTTTATAGCATTGTGAGTAGCTCTTTCTAACAAAGGTTTTGAAAAAAAAAAAGAAATTTCTGTGTTTTTGATTACTGTACAATAAGCTGGTAAGACAGCTATTCCTAACAGTCTAGCACATTAGTTCAAAAAAAAAAAAATACATACATATCTTATTGGTAATATTCAGGAAATGTGCATAAAAGCCCAACGTTGGACTAAAATTTGATAACTCATATCTGGTTACTGCTGATATTCTGTTGTATTATGAAAACAGGTTATGCCCAAACTTGGGAATCAGCTAGCACATTCCACAAGTTTCTGTGTCATAAGTGACTGCTGTGTTAGTACCATGTAAAGTAGTGTCTCTCAAACTGTGTATGCATTTGACTTCAATATGAAGTGCAATGCAACTGGGTAGCTCTCTAATAACTTTAGTCATTTGATCTGGATTCACAGTATATTTGATTAACTATATCAATGAATTATATTATTTTTTAATTTGTCATTATTCTATGTACATTTCTTACATGTCTTATCAGTTGCTATAGTCTGGTGAAGATGTTAATGTAAATAAAGACCCAATACTCCTTAAGAAACTTAATACCTAATAAAACAAAGCTGTCTGAATATTTGAAATATAGTTCATACATCCAACTTACTGTATTTAAACTGTGTTAGCTGAAGGTAGATTTGAAAATAGTCACATTTTATTTTGGTCTTTGAATACAACAAATAAATTTGTTTTGTAGTTAAGAGATCAGAGTACTGACTAGGAAGGTGAGAGGTACATGCAGTTACCACAGTCATATGAAGGGTTAAGTGAGGCTTATAAGCCAGTATGAATTAATTCACTTTTATGCAATGACAGCTTTTCAAATGACATGTAGTTACAGTTCTCCATAATTCACTAAGTACTATATCTTTGTTTAACAGGTCGGGGTACATTTCAGAATCAGGAAAAATCATTCCCTGCCAAAGCTGCTGATACTGTGACTTCTTGCATTCAGACAGAAGTGGCCGAGATGTGTACAAAAGAGTTCCTTCACAGGCGATTTCCAATCACCACATGGCTCCCACAGTATAATTTCTCTGCTTTCATTCAGGACATGTTGGCAGGCTTGACTGTTGCACTTACATTAATTCCACAGTCAATGGCTTATGCTGAAGTTGCAGGTCTGCAGCCACAGGTAACTGCTTATGTTGGTGCACGTGTATTTTCCATAATGCTGAGGTTTCAGTAATATATGAAGTTAACATTTCCTTGGAAATTGTTTCAGTTCTCCACTTAATTTATATGTTGTATCTTCACTTGATATGGGGTACATGGTAGCGTAGTTGGTTGAGGCACTATGCTACAAGCCAGAAGGTTGCGAGATCGAATCCCGATGAGGTCATTGGATTTTTTTCAATTTACCTAAGCCTTCCAGCCGCACTGTGGCCCTGGGGTTGACTCAGCCTCTAACAGAAAAGAATATTCCTGGTACTCATTTCTGTTAGAGGACGGGGTTGACTCAGCCTCGAACAGAAATGAGTACCAGGAATATTCTCGGAATGTTCTTGGGGGTAAAAGGCAGTCGGCGCGTAAGGCTGACAACCTTACCGCCATCTGTGAGCCGACTGTCNGCATTGCTATTTGGGAAGTTCCAGATTCAAATGTGAGCTTGGAGACCAATTGTCCTGAGTGAAGTTTTTCATTAGTCCCTCCAGGGAGATATTGGAATAATATGTTAAATGAGTCCATGACTGCTTCTTTCCACAACATTTACAATTCATTATTCACTGCTATACAATGTTACCAGTTGAAGTCCTCATGAAATAGACTGATAATAAACAAGATTTATTCTAAGTGTACTCTTTGTGAACAGAATATTTTACGCCAAAGATATGTTTAACTTCCGTGCTTTAAGGTCCATTCATATCATCCTGCACTGATCGTTTCATGCACGTAGTGTTTCGTGCATGACAAATATTCTTTAGTACTGTATTTATTAATTCATTCATTCATTTATTTAGCATTCCATAAATCCTACATGGTTAAACACCAATGGATATAGAAATAGTCAACATGAGTAAACAACACATACTGCATTACAATTGTGTAATGTCATACCAGTTAAAAATATTAACAATATACAACATGAACAAAAACCATCATCAGTAACAATAAAGCACTATCAATTACCACCCGTAACAAATCCGAAACTTCAATTGTTGTCACAGTTAAAATATTCATTCAATGAATAAAATGAATTTAAAAAATAGGATTTTTTTAACAGTAGACCTAAATTTTTTAATCTCATGAGCTTTGGTCTTTTATATTAAGTGGAAGTTTATTAAAAATTTATTTATAGATACATTCATATCATGCTTCAATCGTTTCCTGCATGATGTGGCACGGTCCGTCTCCATGCAGGATTCTCAGAGAGAATATTTGTCTGATATGCTACATGTCTGAACGTGCTGCACCGGACTGCAACAGAAGCAACGTGTACAGTATGAACGAGTCTCAGTCATGTTCATACAGATCCAAGTGCACTTCCATCATGGACAATGAAAAATTGATTGATTCATTTTTGTATGATTTACAGGACAAAAGATATAGTTATACCGCTAGTTTTTCTTTAGGAGTTATTGCTTCCTTGAAAACTGTGTCTTCTTTTGTTATCTCCATTTTGATTTTTTCCAACAACTCATTAAATTGATATTGAGATAAACTAAAATACTGAAAAAACTTTTCATCATCATCCATTAGTTCTTTGTATAGAGTCCAGTATTCTTCTTCTGTCTTCCTTTTATTTAGTATTTTATTGGCAGAAAAGCGCTTAAGTTTACGTTTCTCACTATTTTGAATATTCTCTTGTTCTTCTAATAAAATTGATATAACACACAATTCTTCAGTAGGTAGATGCAACATGCTTACAAGAAGGTATGAGCTGGAATGGTTCAATGTCTGATGACATGAAAAGTTTGCAAAAATGTCGTGCAGGAAATGCTGCATGTATGAAACAATCGATGCAGGATGATATGAAAGCTCACACAAATGTCGTGCAGGAAACGCTACGTGTATGAAATGATCAATGCAGGATTATATGAATGGACCTTTCATTCAGAAAATACTTTTTTCTAATTGATGAATGCATGAGTCTCCATGTTCATATTTCCTGATATTATACACTTTGAAAGGCCACTTAAAACTAAATGATTGTCAGTCATCATTCTGTAGCTTCCAGTTCTCTTTGGTATAATTTCTCATAAAGCACAGTACAAAACCGACCAGTCCACATAATCCTGGTAATATAACCTGGGCTAATGTGATATTCTTTCATTTCATTCTTGCTCTTCTCAGTGGGCTCTTCCCTGAAAGTATCTTCTACAGAATCATTGTTCTTTTCTCTCTGAGACTGCTATGTACATATATTTTTTACCTTCCTCCAACTGGTCATCAAATCAAGACCCTCACAGTTGTATAACCAAATACTTGTGTGATGGGTTGTAGTTGTGACGTGATTCAAGATTATGGGTTGACTACACAGTTTGTCTTGTATAGATGCTTCTGGAGACCTACTAATTCATGTTAATGGAATAAATTCTGGAATTTTTAGATTCCATACTGTCATTTTAATTGTTAACACAAAGAACTGTTGCCTCTGCCCTAGTAGTATTATTCTTACCCTTCCCAGGAAACTAAACATTTTAGTGTATCACTATGTCCACTGCATCTATATATTTGACAAACACAACATTTCAAGAGCTGCCTTATGGAAATTCACGTGAACATTGATTGTATTGCTTTGTTACAGTATGGTCTGTATTCATCATTTATGAGTTGCTTCGTGTATATTTTACTGGGCAGCTGCAAGGATATTACCATTGGTCCAACAGCCATTATGGGTATCATGACGAATCCTTTTGTTGTTCAAAATGATAATCCCGACTTTGCAGTACTCTTGTGTTTCCTCATGGGGTGTGTTATAGTTTTGGTGGGATTATTAAGACTTGGTAAGTCCACTAAACTGAACTCAGAATAATGTGTGTTCTTTGTTGCATGAGGTAAAATGTGTGATATTGATAAGTATAGTGGAATGAACATCTACTTGGGCTTCTTCTTTAACACTGTGGCAAGGTCTGCATGCCCTGATCACCTCTGGAGCTATAGCAATGGGTGCATAGCTCCTTGTGGGAACACCACTGTCAGACAGAAGGGTTGGGGCCAGATGAGATTTAATCACTGAAGATGGAGGCTATCAAACTCATCCCACAAAACAATATTCATAAAAAGTAAAAGATTATGGATGCCAGGAGAAAGAGGAAGGAACATCTGACACAAAGAAGGCCAAGGTTCCTAGAGAACCATAGAGGCAAGGAGTAAATAATAATAGCACAACAAATTTACTTTATAGAACTGCCATCTTTCTGATCCTATATGAACTGCTACATATAGAGACTATTTCTATACATGCAGCAAAGTTATTGCCAGGCTAGGCATGATACACACAAATATCTGTGTAAACATCAGTGAACCCTTTTTTTCAGTGACTAATTTGCCATGAAAGTATAAAGGGAAAGTGTTGGATTGTGTTCTTAATTATCTTTAACTTCCAAGTGACACTTAATATATGTCATCTCATATAGAGAGAATATTGGTGTCAGTGAAATAAATGCCAGTGAAAAATTGCTTAATCAGACATCCCTTGTTGAACACACTTTTCAGTTGAATTCTTCTCACCCCCCAATAATGGTAAAGCACTAAATAACTCAGATCTTTTTGCTTATTGGAATGGATTTGAAATTTGAAAAACAAATATAAAGATTTAACACCTTTTATCTAATGAGAATTAACAGACATTTCATTCAGCACTTGTTTCTTCATCCTGTTGAAGGAGTGCAGTAAAATTTATGGAGGATAACCATTTTATAAAATTATTCAATGAATACCAAAATTCTAATAATTGTCTCTGACTACAGAATATTTATGGAAATAAAATTACAGTGTTCAGTGAAATAAATGCCATCAGAAACAAGAATAAGAACACGTAATTTTACAGCATCATAATCTTGAAAGTTAGTTAGTTAGTTAGTTAGTGACTAAGAGACTCATAAGAGCACAGATGAGATTTCTGCTAACTTTTTAGGTATTATAAATCTAGATCATTAAAAACCATACAGGAAAAAATTAGTTTTCTTAATATTATCTGTAAAGTTGAAGAGAACCACAAGAATTGGCTGTGACACATACACAGAATGAAAACAAACTTCACGCTAAAGCAGACCCTGGAAAACAAGAAGAATGAAGATACTGACTATACATGAATTTTTAGGAACCACCACTCGACCTTAATTCTGCATGACCATGAGGATGATAGTGATGAATTATTTTCCTTTGATTTTGGAATTAGTTTTTGAAATTTAGAATGGTCACCATCATCATGTAATGATGTTTTCACCAGAGTTAATTGTACTGTGAAATAATTTAAGATGCAGTAATATAATTTGAGAAATTTTGTCCCACACATTTTGTTGGGGCACGTATGCAGTTGGGCAGTTGTGTGAAAATAAAATAATTTATTTGAATTAATTTAAATGCAAAGAATTATGAACAATAATTCTGGCCTAGGGTTTATGCAACCTAAATTCATCTATATGCATTTGTTGTTACATTCTTAGTTAAACTGATTTGGCTGTAGCATCATAGGTTTTCTCAGCTTGAAACTCTAGAAATCATATGCAATGTGATTACAGACCCTGCAGAGATTTAAACGTGACTTTCCCATTTTATGTTCTGGTGACATGTTCAGGATGCATAAGAACTTCATATATGAGCTTCTTGTTAATTCACAATTTTTATTTTTCCAGCAGTACCAGTGGTGTTATTATGAATTAAATTTATATAAGCATACTGTAGACATTATAGTTCTGCTTTTGTTCTGAAAGTGTAGTTTTATTTGGCATGTTGGTTTTGTGGGAACATCCCACATTATCACGCATTTTCTGCAACGCACACTCTTCACATCACTTTTCACCATCACGCGCGCTAACCAATCAAATTGCTCCAAACGTTCGCATTTATACTGCGCTCGCTGCTAGCCCTGCATCTACATCATCACGCGCGCTAGCCAGTCAGCGCCCTGCAAATTCTTCCTCCTCAATTTCAAGTTTCGCTCCGCCCACCGAGCAGTGTATAAAAAGGAGCAGCTGTGAACCGGCAGCATCAGTTGACTTCAGTCTATGATCAAGACACACTCAAGCAACATCAGCCAGCAGGCTTTGTCGCCAGCGCTCGGTCTTCGGAGGCATCGGCAGGCTGCGCCAGGCACGACTGCCTCGGCCCTCCGGCTCTCTCACACCCGACTCACTGGGGCATCTCGCCTGGACTCGCTGGTGGTCGTGTCCCTGCCCGACCCACTGGGCATCTGGCGTAGCCACTGCCTCATCACTCCTACGACCGCGCTGCACGACCACGCAACTTCAACTCCCCTGCCGCATGGCGATCAAGCAACCTCCAGCAACGGGCGCGCTGTGGCCAGTCAAATCACCGCNTTGGTAAAAAAAAATACCAGACTACTAACTGAAAAATTAGGCCTACTTACCCAATTCAAAATCCATGCTTTCAGGAGTTTCTCTTGTTCTGTCAGGTTTTCTGGTGGAGTTCATATCATTTCCAGTCACAGCTGGGTTTATATCAGCTGCTTCCATCACCATTGGTTCTTCTCAGCTCAAAAGCCTGCTGGGAATTAAGGGGAGCGGTAATGATTTCCTGGATTCATGGGAAAACCTGTTTAAGAACATACAGGATACCAGACCTGGTGATGTGACATTGGGTGTCTGCACTATAATTCTTCTTCTGATTGGACGGGTGTAGTATCTTATGTGAAACATAACTCTATTAGATGAACTTGTGCTTATTCTTTGAAATTAAGAGTTTAGTTTAAGATTCAAATTTCTGAAGTTGATACTAATTTGGACAAAAATTTACAAGGATAATACAGCAGTGATTCCTCACCTTGTTGGCATAATTATAACCTAAGGCATAATATCCATGTAGTTATAGGAATAATGAGCTGGTGAGCTACACAAACTTCTGATAAATTAAATCAAATTAGCAGGAAACACACTTAATAACTGTTAAATTGAATATGCTGACAGGATTCCATAAGAGATTTTATAGTGTCAAGCAAAAGGAAAAATTGGTTCTAAAGGGAAAGGAGAAATAACTGGAAAAATCTCAGAAACTATGAAAAGATTCAATTTGTAACTGATCTCATTATGCCTCGTTTTGGAAAGTATCATCACATCATCATCAACAGCAGCAGCAGGATCACCACCATCACTGCTAATTGAATGTAAAGAAAGTAATGGTGATATACGTAAATTGTTTAATTTACTTTATTCAACAATATTTTATTATTGTTCCTTCTGACATGGCGCACCATCAATGCACATTGCAGCACATCTTGTCTGACATGCAGAGACATATTCAAAATCTTGACTCCCCTAAGCTAGTCAAGCAGAAGCCTCATGTAAACCATCTCACAGAGATGTTACATGTGATGTGTCTGCAGTTTATGAATAATGAATCTAATTTGTGTTACATTTAAAATACAGTAGATGTTCATTTTTGCCTAATATAATGTACAAAAAAATTAAGTACATTAGAAATCATTTTTTGTCTATTACCAATTAAAAATTGAGGAGAGGCAATTTTGGCTCTTTGGTTAAGTTCAGCGGGTAAGAGTGCCGAAGAGATTAACATCCGCCGTTCTACACATTATTAGAGATTGAGGATGTTTAATCCTTGTTTTAATGTCTAGGCACAGATGTGAGGATTAACCCCTTGTATAGCCATTGTACTATGCTACAGGTTGCTGGGTCACAGGTTCAATTCCTGATGAGGTCATTGCATTTTTCAGTTGACCTAATCCTCCCAGCTTCACAGTGGCCTGGGGGTCAACTCAACCTCTAACAGAAATGAGTACCAGGAATCTTCCTGGGAGTAAAGTGTGGCCAGCACATAAGGCTGACAGTCTCATCATCATCTGTGAGCTGTTTGTCCAGAAAAAAAGTGAGAACCTCGATTTCTCACAACCTTATGGGCATTTATGTCCTGTTGCAGGAACAGCTTTATTATTATTATTATTATTATTATTATTATTNATAATTTGGCTCAGAGGCCCAGGGACAGCTTTACCTTTATCTTACTCCTTTTATGCCAGCCATTTGAATGTGCAATGATGCCATTTTTCTGTCATTTGTTCTCAGAGTTTATTGTATTTATTTGACAGGACATATGTTGCAGTATGCAAAAGTAATTTATGTCCATGTCAGTCCAACAGGACGATAAATATAACATTATCAAAAGTAATTTGCTTGGAAATTTGTAGAGATTGGCCTCTCTTGGTGGCAATTTCAAATAATAAAGCTAGGCTTTTGAAAGTGATCATGAATTCATCTCAGTGTTGCCTGGAATGGGTATGCTTGCCTCATGAGTCAAACTTGATGTTTTAATGCATGGGAATGGGATAGGATGGGATTGAGCGGCAGACTTTAGTGAACACAGTATTGAACACTCAAATGTAATAGAAAACAAGAAACCCCTTGACTGTATGAGTGACTGTTAGCTTCTTAAAAGGAACTCTGTTCCATGGAATTAGTTGTGTTCTAATTCCAGCAAAGTAAATATGATATTATTTTGATTATACAGAACATTGATTTTTAAACTGCATTACAATAATTTAATTTGATTCAGCAGTTAAAATGATCTTGTCGGGAAGAGACAGAAATTTGTATGTGATTTGGCTGTATTTGTTGTTTGTATAGAAAATGAAGGACTTTACTGGAGGTCGTCGGAGCTCTTCCGCGGTACGCAGATTCTTGGGAAACACTATATGGATAATTTCAATATCTCGGAATTCTATTGTTGTTATCATTAGTATGATTCTGGCCTATGTTCTTCAAACCAAAGGTTACGAACCATTCAAGTTAACAGGTATGGAATTAACTTAGTTTTATTTTTACTTCTCCATTGGTTAGACAGTTTTAAATAGTTATTACAAAGTAATTCATGTAGTAAATTTCATTATGGCGCAGCACAGAGACTTCCAAATTTTTACAGCCATGGCAGTGGAAATGAGTAGATCTCTTTTTCATCCAGCAACATTCCTTTTTAATACTAATGCATTCATACCTGCTGTTCATCATTGAAAGTCTTTGATGTGACACTATTTAGCATTTGTTCTTGTAGTTCATATAAGTGTTTGTAAATTATTTTTGTAATATAGTATTGTTATTGAACACTGTAGATATATATGTAAAGTGATGATATTGTAAAGCTATCAAAAACGTTTGTACAAATTTGTTTTGTTTACAAACTATCATAGGCGAATTTTCATCCACACTGACTAGGTTGAGGCACTATGCTACAAGCCAGAAGGTCGCGGGTTCAAGTCCCGATGAGGTTATTGGATTTTTTCAATTGACCTCATCCTTCCAGCCACACTATGGCCCTGGGGTTGACTCAGCCTCTAACAGAAATGAGTACCAGGAATTAATTAAATAATTTCCTGGGGAGTAAAGCGCGGCCGACGCGTAAGTCTGACAACCTTACTGCCATCTTTGAGCCGATTGTATAGATAATTTGTGACCCTCAACGTCTCACAACCCTATGGGCCTTCACGGCCTGTTACAGGGGTAGTTTTACTTTTACTTACTGACTATGTTAACAAAAAATAGTGCAACAGCTTCTTGAAATAGCATTACATTTCAGGATGCTATGCAAAACTACTTCATGCTTCTCTTTTATTGTAGCTGGTAACCTGAAAATTGAAAATGTTGCTGTAAGTTATATCAGTCATGCACGCATGATGGTGGTTCCTTGTAATTGTTTCTTTTATGCAAGAGTCACATTTAGAGTCTAAAGGGTTCTGACAATGATGTATAGCACTCATAGTTACTGGGTTTTTGGACTTTTTCTATCGTCTGGTATTCTAGAAAATATAAAATATGACGTTTCGGAAACTGGATCTGTTTCCATTCTCAGGTGACGGGGGCACCTACTCAGTTGGGCCCTTAGAAAGAGCTAACCTCAATTGCAGGTAGGCTGGTTGAAGAAGATTTCCTTCTCTCAGGATATGGTCCTTCCTCACATAGCTTGACTCTGACCACGTAATTCACATGGGGGGGTACCTTTCTGTTACTTTGTTTTCTTCGTTTGGTTCCATGAATACCATCATTATTGAGTCGTTGCATAGCACCGAATAATTCCTAGTGATAATTGTACAATAAGTACATTGTCATTATAAGCTTGGTTTGATGTGAGCTGTTCCCATAGAGGTGCATAATGTTGATTGATTCATTCATTCATTAGTAATCTGTCAAACGACAGGTCCACAGTCTCTTCCAAAACAGTTCCTCCACTTAATGCGATCTCAAGCGTTCTCCTTCAATTAAAATATCCTCTTCTGTCCCCAAGGTCATCCAGCATCTTCTTATGTCTTCTTCCTCGTCTTCTGGGCACTTCTATCCGCCCCTCCGGTTTGTTTTGTCTCCAGAGGAAACATCTCGCATACATGGTATCTCTGTTTTTGGAAAGAGACTATCCAGGAAAAGTGATAATATGGTAGTTTTTCCATTTGCTTTCCACATTGCAGTACAATAGCCGTTCAAAATAATATTGATATCTCCAATTAAATCCAGGGATGCACGGAGAAGTGGCTCATAATGGGGTTTCTTTTGAACCAAAAATACGATAATGTACTGTGTCATATACATATATAAAATTATATTTCAGTGAGTGTGACAATTGTATCAACATATACTTGTTATTCCTCTTCCTGCCCTTTCATTTTAATAAGTCTGGATTATAGTCAGCAGTTCTATAACTGAAAGTTAACCTCGGTAGTCAGTAGTTTATTAAATAATGAGTTGTTTAATGCAGAAATCACTCAGCTTCCCAAATGTTTGGTTTAGGTGAGGTTGCAGATGGATTGCCACCATTTGGACCTCCTCCATTCAGCACAGTTTCACACAATGAAACTCTGAACTTCGAGGATATGGCACGCATATATGGCACGTCCCTATTGAGTGTTCCTTTCATCTCAATCCTGGAGACTATTGCCATAGCCAAGTCTTTCTGTGAGTATTTTTGCCTACAAACCATATGAAATTTCATGTGGTGATTTGTATGTGTTTTAAAAGTGTCGTTTTTAGGATATTACTTTTTACTTTCATGTAAAATATGTTAACTTGGATAAAGGAGATGTTTTCCTTACATGAACCACTGCTTTGCTTCAAATCTTGAACATCCAGTCATCCTACCTTTTCTTATTAGCCTAAATTTTGTCCTGTAATTGCTATGATTTTGAAGATATTGGAGGTAAGAAAGGTAAAGATGTCCGTGTGCTTAACTACATAAGCACTACGCCATGAAGGTGTATGGGGGAGTGGATGTATAGAGCCACATTTTCTTCACCTCGGCACTAGCTAGAGGTGAGTGGTCAGCTTCATGCCCCCGGTACCCATTGGATAGGAGTTTGGGTGGACCCCCCCAGAGTCAGTCTGGACAACATGGAGAAGTGAAAATACTTGCCCTCACTGGGACTTGTACTCCGACCCCTCGGTTCTCCAGCCTGTAGCCACTCACTATACCGACTGAGCTGAGCTATCCCAGCTCTTATTGGAGGTAAGTTTTGTTAATTAAATTATGCAATAAGATAATACCTTAGAAAAAAGACCATGCCTTCTTCCTTTCCAGTTGATCACTCATGACTGTCCGTGTTATTCAATGCTGTGTATTTTTATTTCCTCCAATATATTGTTTTACAGGCCATAGTGATAAGTGTGGTGGCCTACAGATTGCTCATCACTGATCAGGGTGGAACATAGCCCACATTTCTTACTGATGGCAATTATAGGATAAGCATAGATTGAGGGTATTTGAGAACATGGTGTAGAGAATATTTGGAGCAAAGACGGATGAAATAATAGGTGGTTGGAGAAAGTTGCACATTGATGAAATTAATAACTTGTACTCTTTGCCAAATGTCATTAGAATGATCAAGTCAGGGAGGATGAGTTGGGCAGGGTATGTAGTACACATGGGGGTGAAGATGAATGCATGCAGGGTTTTGGTGAGAGAGCCAGAAGAAACGAGACCATTAGGAAGACCTAGATGTAGGCGGGAGGATGATATTAAACCAGATCATAGAGAAATAGGTTGGGGTGGCATGGACTGGGTTAAGCGGGCTCAGGATAGGGACTAATGGTTAGCTCTTGTGAACATGATAATGAACCCACAGAGATATTGGGTTTTCGGACTTTATCCATCATCCTGGTTTTAAGATAACTAAGAAAAACACAACGTTTCAGTGATTGAGGCAGCTCTTTCTAAAGGATCCAACAGAATAGGTGTTTTCCCTGACCTGAGGACGGAAACAGATCCAGTTTCCGAAACGTGTTTTTCTTAGTTATCTTAAAATCAGGATGATGGATAAAGTCTGAAAACCCAATATCTCTGTGTGTTATACACCATCATCAGAATCCTATAGTAACTACATGATAATGAACATTCAGGTTCCATAAAATATTGGAAAATTCTTGAGTAGATAAGCAACCGGTGGCTTCTCAAAGGGGGCTCAGCTCCGTGGAATTAGTCAGTTTATGATTACTGTCTTCTGGGATGTGACACCTGCTGCTGCCATCTTCAGAGCAGAAGAAATGGTACAGGATATAGGGAGGGAGAAGACAGGAACTCGGGTTGTCATCAAGCCAATAAGGAAATGGTAGTAGAAAAAATTGGTACAGTGCTCCACCATTACAAAGCTCCTTTGGAGAGTAAGTTGGGCAATATACTCGTTCATTAATGTTGTGTAGTGTGCAAGAATGAATGGGTGACAGACTTCTGTAGGACAGAAGTAACGTACAAGGAAATATGTTGTTCTTATGGAATTAAAAAACGGTATGCATGGGATGGATTTCAATATGGCCTCTATACATTGAATATTTTTTCACAACTTTTTCATTGTAAAATTATTTTCAACGCTTTCCCAGTAATAGAGTTGATTCTTCTAGGACCATCATTTGCTACTGGCTCACTCACTTGTGTGCTGTCTTTCCCTTCCTTATACCTTGCACCATGTTTTTCTGTGTAGCTTTCTCTTCTGTCCTGAAGATATAGGTGGAATTTTTTCTAAAATACATTACATTACATTCCCTGGATACAGAGTTAGTCAAAATGACTGTAGGATGGGGAATATGTCATATGAATCCAAAAACATATGTAAAATATGACTGAAGTTTTCACACAAGAAAACACAATGGTTACACATGAGGCTATTCGGAAATACATACATCCACATATACACATCAATACTGTCAACTTATGCTATTTGCATAACCTTAAATGGTACCAAACAACATGGCTTCATGTCCCAGAAAACAATTTTTGTAGTAACTGCCATGAGAACTATGATTCACCTTATTTGGTGTCCTGCATTCCTGAAACCTGTGTAATACCTCACACAATATTATATGACAAAACTTCTCATATTGTTTCTAGCTGCTGTAAGTGAAGACAGTTCTCAAGCCTTAAAAAAGCCAAGAATCATTATTGTTCACATTTATAAACTTCAGTGGAGAAAATAAGTTGAAATACCTGAAAGAAGCATAATCTATAATTTGTAAGTTATATTGTTTCTGTTGTAGCTAAAGGTAAAGCAGTGGATGCCTCTCAGGAAATGTTTGCGCTGGGCTTATCTAACATCTTGGGCTCATTTGTGCGGTCTTTCCCAACTGCCGGATCATTCTCTCGCACAGCTGTGAACAATGCATCAGGTGTCAAAACTCCTCTTGGTGGTCTCATGACTGGTAAGGAAATGCAGGACATGTCTTTCCTTTTATACGTACATTAGTAATTAGATGAAACTGAAAAGTGTGAATCCTATACTCAGAAAATCTGTTACAGAAGGATAATTCATACAAAATGATTTATTATAACTAATATCTCAGAAGAAAACTTCATATGTACATGTGCCATATTACCATAATTTACAACAAACCCCAAACTATATGAGGAACCCCTATCAGCTTGTATATTCCTGGCCGCCCTTCATATCTTGAGAACATGCTATGCTGTGGTGAAGACTCTTGTACCGAATTGCAAATTTTAATGAAATGAGAAATTAAGAAATTCCTAGCATTGATTACTAATGTTAATTCACTACCATATGAAATGCTATAGTCAGACCTCAAAACCACAGGTAAATCAAATATGAGCAGAATTGTAACCAAAGTAACAATGATTGTGTTTTAGGTGTAATGGTGTTGATGGCACTGGGTCTTCTGACATCCACATTTGCCTACATTCCCAAAGCAACACTTGCGGGCGTTATCATCAGTGCTGTTGTCTTCATGGTGGAGTACGAAATGATCCCATTACTTTGGCGGACAAAAAGTGTGTTAGTGTATATTATATAATAAACAACAGAAATGAGCCTGCCTAGATAAAACCGATTCATTTTAAAGCTTATTGTCACGTATATGCGGGTTTGGATCGGTGACTTGGTTTATTGACTACTTACACTCACAACTCATAACTGTAATTATAACAGCCTCACTGGTTTACATGCTCTAAAGATCCCTGCAACTGCAGTACACATAAAGTCTTCTATGTCTTAACTAGTTATTTCCTGTTAATGGCTTCTGACAACTCTGCGTACGTCCTTGCTGGCTGATGAATATCCCACAACACAACTAAGCTCTAAACTTTGTCCCGCTTAGAACCCCTCGATACAGACTGTGAAGAAGACACTGCTCCTTACTGTTGTATCCATTGGGTAGCTAGCTGCTGTATAGTAACAGCTGTTGTCTCATTTGTTTCATGGTCATTGCCTAGCAACAGGTCTATACGCCTCATTGACCCCTCCTTAAGGCTACTTGTCTCAGAGAGCCTACAGGTGTACAGCCATTTCTTCTTTTCCAAGGGATGTGCTTGTGATGTCTGTGCCTTCGTTCCCTGTGGTTCACTTCTCACAGTGATTACTCTCCAACTGCTCCCGCTTCTCCCTCCTTAAGGCCACTCGTCCTGAGTGGCTCACTGATAAAGTGTTAGTTGGTCCAGGTGTATTCTCATCATTCGTCTTTTTCAGTCAGTGTGGACAAATTTTCTGAGTGGCTGGTGCTCCTACATCTCTGGCTCTTACTCCATGTGCAGTCTCTTCTTTCATTTCAGAGGGCACTGACTCCTCCACATTGTCCTGACACTCATGTTCCACTGTCTAATGGAAGTCCCATATATTTGCTTCACGACCTTCAGCTCCACAGTCTGCTTGAAGATCTTGTTGAGTGTTCTGCTCGCAAGATGTAATCGCTATTTTAGGCCTAGGTTCCTTATGCCGTTGTTGCATTCCAGTTGCCCCTGATGGCTCTTGCCCGTCCATTTGAGTTTCCACTTACAACATTGTCCCTGGTCCAATTTTGCTGTTATCTCTTTTTGACCGTTGGTTCTTTATGACAGCATCCCGTATGCCTTGCAGGAGCATCATGGCAGGTCGTCCATCTGCATGTGGTGGCCAACTTCTTCTAGGACCCACCAGGGCCCTGGGTTTGTTTCTTCTTCTGTCAGTGGTGCCCTGTGGGTAGATGCCAGTCCAAATATCAGTCCTCCAGTTCTCCAATAGTCTACTGCAGCTTCTTCATTAGAGACTTCCTAATGCTCCCGCTTAGTTTCCTCTGGATTTTCCTTCAAATTCTTGACCTCCATCTTTTCTAGGCAGGCCTGTTGGATGGCTTCTGTATCAGCCATGATGGCTTGCAGACATTCCATCATTTGTTCCATTTTGTAGGCCGACGATACAGCTACACAGTGTAATCCTGGATCCAAATAATTTGATGGATTCAATCCTTTCCAATTGAGCCACTTCTGACACCAGTTGCCACATGTATGAGTGACTATAGATGGGATTTGGATTGGTAATTGGTTTTACTGAATATTTCCAGATCATAACTACAGGCAACTATAATGCTAATATTAATTCATGCTCCCAGCAGTTCACTATAGCACATACTAAGTCTTCTCATCCTGCTGTGTCTTCACCAGTCATTGCCTGATAACGGCTTTCAACAGCAGACTTTCCCCTAACTCTGAGTTCCCAAACAATTCCTGTGCCTCAGCTACCAGGTTTGAACAGCAACAGCTCACAAGGGATGAACTGCAGTTCTATAACTAATTCACCAACCAGCTCTTCAAGTCCCTGCACTACAATGCACAAACAAAATTGTACAGGCAACAAGCAGAAGTCATACAAAATCATGAGAATGAACATGTTCACAGCATAGGATAAGGCAAAGCCAGGCATAAGAAATATAAGAGGCCTAAACTTGGTGGCGGTCAAGCTTACAACCATTCAAGTGACTAAGCTGCCATTGCCGCATAAGATAAGTAAGCTAGACATGATCTACTTTGCAAAGCCAGGACTGACAGAGGACTTGTATATAGTGTACAAGGAAGAATTTTCAATAACATGCTATTTGTGCGATACATCCTTGTAGTGCACTAACCTCCACTAATTTTCCTGCTTATATCATCTCCGCACGGACGTCACAGAAAACGCCGTTCCTCTGTTGATGTTCAATTGTTGCTTGGTGGACCGCACAGAAAACACCTTTCCTCTGTTGCTGTTCATTGGTGCATGTTAGGAATCTGTTGCCTAGCAGCAGGTGTTGTTTACAGAGTCATTACTTAGCAACAGGTTTACATGCTGCATTATATTTTAAAGTTAAATTAAATGCTATGCATGCTCTTATAGTTCAGAACTTTAAGCATAATTCTGACATATAGACTCATTATGTTAAATTCATTTCAGACCTTTCACTGTTTGATATTCCCTATATATTCTTATAGGGATCGTTGCTTTTGCAATGCAGATATTTTTATGGGTTCTAGTTTTCTTTGTTTCTTTTTAAATTTGTTTTTCCTTGTTTGGTTTCTCTTATATCTCCCTGTCACCCTCTCTCCCTCTCTTACTCTTCTTTCTGTCTTCATTTATTCAGCAGTACTCGTATATGGGTTTGACAGGTCATTTAGCAGTAGTGACTCATTATATTCAACTGAATTCTTCTGGTATAGACAAGTTCTTTTGGATATAAATATGGATTTCTTTTGGCTTATTTTGGACTTCAGTTCTGGATGTTTTGGCTGTATTAACCCATACTGCTGCTTTGGTAAGCTGATAGCTGAAACTCTCATAGTAATCAAGTTTAATGATTCTGTATTTCAGCATCCCGTAGCGTCCATTGTTTATCTTCTGTCAAAATTGCAACACTTACATTCTACACTTCAACACTACATGTTTATGTTACAGATATTTTACTAAAACTGTGTTAAAAACTGCTACACTGTTTTAATTCATGTTAAAATCACTCGCTGTACTCTTCGTAAGTAAAACGAGATAAAATCCTTTAAAATTTCTGTTGCATATTATTTCACCTCACCCGGGGTGTCGTCATTTTCGTAAATATATCAAGGTACTTAAGAAGACTACAGTGTGTGATTTTAACACAAATTAAAACAGTGTAGCAGTTTTTAACACAGTTTTAGTAAAATATCTGTAACATAAAAACGCCTGAAGATAGCCGTTTGAGGCAGAAACATGTAGTGTTGAAGTGTAGAATGTAAGAGTGTTGCAGTTTTGATGGAAGATAAACAATGGACGCTAATCAAGTTTAATATCTATGACTTACATAAGGGACAGGAGAGTAATGTATCATTATTATGAGTTTAAAAATAGCTCTCAGATTCAGAATGTGTAATGGAAGGAAGGTACTTCAGGACAGACCCACATACATACTGTGGTCATGAACAAAAAAGTGTGTATATGCTTAGAATAATAAATTTATTACATTATCAGATCAGGTTTGATGCAATAACTTATTAACAACAGGAATACGAAGGGGGACCCAAAAATAACCGGAAACGACCTGTTGCGCACGCATGCTTTGTAGTTACGAGTTGTGCTGCTAGGTGGTGTTAGCTGGGGGTCTCCCGCGACTGTTAGTGAGCTGGCGTCAGTCTGAGTTAAGTGGTTTGTCTGTGGTGCTCTGTTGTGTGCGTTCCTGTTTCAACCCTTTGGCGATTAGTGAGATGGCCGACCAGAAGGAACAAAGAGTGTGCGTGAAATTTTGCTTTCTGTTAGGGAAAACTGCACTTCACTCTTCAAGTCGCGGCAAACATTCACGCGGTTTTCTCTTTGGTCATCTCCGAGCAAGCGAGGAACAAATTTTGCAGACACCCGTCTCATGTGCAAACCTTCGGTTAAAATTCGCTGGACCGTGCTCCATGAGATGTTCGTTTCCTCAGAAAGTTGGTCAATGGTCTTTCGACGATCTTCATCAATTTCACGCACACTCTTTGTTCCTTCTGGTCGGCCATCTCACTAATCGCCAAAGGGTTGAAACAGGAACGCACACAACAGAGCACCACAGACAAACCACTTAACTCAGACTGACGCCAGCTCACTAACTGTCGCGGGAGACCCCCAGCTAACACCACCTAGCAGCACAACTCGTAACTACAAAGCATGCGCGCGCAACAGGTCGTTTCCGGTTATTTTTGGGTCCCCCCTCGTATATACCTGATATCCACAAGCCAAATATCCAATACACTTGCTTGATGATTGATGACAGAATGGATTAAGATTGTCAATCCCTGTAGAGGAAGATGAAGAGGAGGAGGAGGATCATCTAATACACTTTGACATGGACTCCATTTTTAAGTACAAAATGTCAAATGCATAGCCTAAACCCCGCCTAATAACACTAGTAATTGCAATACTTATTTGGGTGTTCATTCAGAGGTTGTGTAAACCATGTCTAGGAACAAGTCCAGTTGTGTTGATCAGGTAAATGAAGTGGCCAAGGTGTCAACCTGTCTTGTCCAATTAAACGCTTTGGTAAATTGTGATTCAGGAAGGCCTGACATCTAAACTCGAATGTGGTGGTTTAATGTACTATCTGTAAGGTGACCAAGAAAACCATCTGAGTTTCTCTATGAAGTGCTATGCTGTGAATAATGCCAGTATTCTGCATTTGGGTTCTGTATGTATTTTACATGGGTGGTTCAACCTGTGGAAACTTGTATATAATAAATTTGAAAACAGCTTCTATTTATTTAGGGCAAACTGTAATTTTGATACTTTGCTCATTTGTTTCATGGTGCTCAAATTTGTTCTGAGGAAGATGCTCACTGGTATGTGCAAACATATATAAACATTGAACATTGTTTCAGAGGCAGACCTTATTCCGATGTTAGTTACATTTGTGGCATGCTTGGGACTTGGACTTGACTATGGTATGCTTATTGGTATTGGTGTCAATCTGGTGTTCATACTGTACAGTTCAGCCCGCCCAAAGGTCCAGGTCCGCAATCTTACTGTAAGCATATTGTTTGTAAAATATAAATTGTGTACTTCGATGTGGGGGAGGGGGGAATGGTCTTTTTTTTTTTTTTTTTTTTTTTTTTTTTTTTTTTGGGGGGGGGTCTAACTCTCTTTTTCTTG